GCCCCCCCCCCCCCCCCCCGAAATTTTTTTCCAGTTACAGCCTTGGTCTGTTCACATGTAAGCTTTGATTTTAGTAAAAACGATATTTACTGTAACAACGGTTTGCGGTGATATCCGAGTTTTGTACTGATGATTGTTCCTATAGACATTGTACAGCCGTACTACTAGCGCTACAAGTAGTCAATGTACACATTAATGTTATGATATTATTTTATGCATGGTAAATAAAGCTAAACTATAAATTTATTAAGTTAAAATAATAGTATATTATAATATTAAACTAATATTTAATATCTTTGAAATTAATTATTTATATTATTATAATCAATACTCCAACGTTGGCGAACTAGTATATGATCAGCCGATGGAGGCATGGAGTGTAATTTCTTTACAAAATGTCTCTACATAATATCTTAAATCATGAATATTATGTCCATGATTCTAATTTTCTATATTATTGTTAGTTGGCATTAATTTATTGACCACCATCTAATCAATATTAAACAAAACAAAAATTACTCTAGTCTAATATTAATTGTGTGTAGTGTGTGTTAAGATGGGCGACATTTTAATTACATATGGATTTCAAACCATTTATCTAAAATTTGATTTACCAAATAATAAGGGACAGCATTTATTTGAAAGTGGACATGTAAAAAATGTTCAAGAATTAAAATTAGCAAATGGTTTTTCAATTATCAGTGGACATGTTATAAGGCAGACTTCAGTAACATTAACCCCCTGGAAAGTGACCCTTGAAGTGAGTACAAAGTAGAATAGATAGTACAATAGCTATTTTTAGAATGGTTAATGAATTTCTACTGACGATTTCATATTCTATACAATTTTAGATTGATAATTTAAGAACAGTTAACCACACAGATTGTGAATGCCCTGCAGGAGCAGGAGGTATATGTAAACATATATGTGCTGTATGCCAATATATTAATAATGAAGAAAGTTCATCAAAGACGGACTTACCACAACAATAGGACAGACCATCCAAAATTGGAGAAGAAAAATATAAAAAAGGCAAACGACTTAATCAGCTTTTTCCAAACAAACATAAATGTTTATTGATTAATGATGAAATCCCAATTGATAATTATAATATTTTGAATATTCCCTGTAGTCTTAGTAGAATGATAAAATCAGAAAGTATTACTGAGGTTGAAAGAGAATGTAAGTTATGTATTGATAGTATTATAGATAAATTAGAATGTGAAATAATAATTAAGAGAAACTG